ATTCTCAACCTATTGAAAAATTTCCTGCTGGTCAGCAATGGAGATGCCAATGGTGCAAGAGGGAGAAATGGAAGGAGCACCATGTTGCTCAGCCTGCTCTTTTCTTCAGTTGCTGTTGTTGTTCCAGCATCTGTCACGTCCTCTTTCTCCTCTTCCAACTCACCGCCTCGCTTCATGCCAACACGACCACCACCACCCGCCAAGAACATTATGATATCTCGCAACAGCCAAATTAGGCTTCCCGCTGCACCACCACGTCTACGAAGCTTTCCCGCAATCGAGAAGACTGCAGCTCTACACGGCACATGCTTCACCAAAAAGTCCCGAGAAAGCCGGAGATGGAGGGCACGGCAAGGCCAGATTACGGCCCAGCCTGCCCCTCAAGACTATACCTCTACCTAGCACTATGCTCAAGCCCCAGCGTGTATCAACTGCCAAGTCTCTGTGCTAGGAGCGAACTCCGTCATTGACTTGAGCAGAGTCGTATTCTGCATCTTGAGAATGGCATCCTTGTTACAGGCAGCAACACAGAGCTCAACCTCACGAGAACCGACTGGACGGAGACACGTACATACTCATCCTCTCGTGAGATCTTCCCGCAACGGCTCCGTCCATCCGACCACTGGATCATGGTGGTTGATGATCCGGTTAAACTTTCAAGCGGCTGTCATTTATTCGGCCCCCCTCTTTGCCTTTTCCCCTCTCCCCCACTCAGACACCTCCAGCCATGCTTTCGAGGCTCACTCCCCACCCCTTTTGCAGTTTCAGTTAGATGGTAGCTCCAAGGGTCATCACGTGGCCTGTGGTCCTTCGACAGACTTCGTTGCCCCAGAGTCATGCTGCGCTATCATTGACTATTTTGGTGTGCATGATGGCGCGCATGTTCTTCAGGCACACTACATACCTGGTAAAACATGACATCTCAACCCATTGTTCCTGGTTTCATACTCTTCCCTCACCATTCTGGTTTATTGCAACATGACTGGAGGCCACGCCTCTTAATGCTCTTACTTTTTCTCGCAAGTTTTTCTCCTACTTTGCGCCAAGATGGCAGTGAGAAGGGTTGAGGAGAGTTGTGATCCCCGGCTGAGAGCGCTCTCCTAGAAAGGCTGAGTGGCCACGGGGCTTTGGCGGAAGTCCGGATCTCGGACGCCCATTATGGTCTTACAACTACCTACTCACATACCTGTTGCCAAACTCAACCTTCTTATCACGCTCGTCGGGGGGTCTAAAGGGCTATCAACCCACGGGAACTGGTTCCGTTTCCCTTACAACTGCGCAAGGGCCTGACACAGCTTGTTTCGAATCCTCTTGATAACCACTTGGGACGTTGACAGGTACATGGAAAAGTACTGGTACCTTGATCGTGCCGATGTTAGTTGCGGTGCTTGGTGTGGCACAACAGCTAAGGTGCTTCTGCGCTTTGGGACTTCATAACATCTTCCCCAGCTTCAAAAAGGAGCTCTCAAAAACACCCGACTTGAGCATCTCAGCTGGCCCAGTTCCCGATCCCCTCACACACCAAGCTTTTCTTTCGTATTTCTGACCGATCTCTACCTTTTCCTTACGTTTGATCCCTGGTTATGATCCGAAAGGCGTTCGGATGCCCGTTCTTCCAGTTCGATATATGCACAGCATGGTTGTAATGACACCCAGGGACGGCGAATAAGTGTTGCGGGAGCTGGCATTGGGCAGACTCATGCCATCTTTCCTTCTTCGATTTTTTCATTTCCGCAGTCCATCTTAAAGAGTTCGGAATCTCGCATGGGCCAAGCCCCAGATCCCCCCAATACGTCGACTGTGCTACTTAATAGCTCGGCATGTATTGCGCCCGAGTGCGCCCGAGTGCGCCACAACTCATGGATCGTTCGTATATGGCCGTTTTAGTGCTTGATGGCGTCTTGAAGATTTTCCTACACGCTCTACATGTTCGTCATGGTTGCCCGATTCACGATGCTCATCAGTCCTGATCGATCTTCAGATCATCAAATTGCGGAAGGAAGTTGCGCTCAAGTAGTTGGCACGGAGCATGGCTGTATGGTCACTCTACCGCTTTTTTTCATTCGATTTGGATACCCTCAGAACAGGTATAGCGCCGGGAATATCTGGGCCCAACAGGGGCTTCAACCAATCTCACCCCCTTGTGTGGCCACGTTCACATACCCACTCTCCCACTCTTCCTTGCAGGAGGCTTGGAAAAGTGGGCAGTACTATACTGCAGCTGGCTAGAAGGAATCCAAATCGAATGAAAAAAAGCGGTATCCCAGTACTGGATGGAATCATGAGTGAGCAAGAGCATATCGATGCGCACAACTTTACGATGCGAATTATGCAAGCACTATGGGAGGCTCGAGTGGCTGACCCCATTGTGTGTCAAACCTGACTCAGCCCCCCACGCTGTCAACCTCTATTGCGCATGGAATTTGAGACAATATGCGGCATATTGGGATGTGCTCTTTGAAACGTCCTGTTTCCCTTATGTGCTACCTCGAAGTAGACATTGCTGGCTTTTCAACGGGCATATGAAAGCATGGTCATTATCGGCTCGCTTCGAACCGTTGTCTCGTTCTGTGCCTCATGGTGATTGGTTTTTATATAAGTTCATCATGAACTTTATAATGACGAGTGTCTCCCACTTTCTGTCTCAAAAACATGAAAAACATGGGTTGCAAAATGCGGATGTGGCGTCGACTCTCTGTTCCCCGACTTATCAAATTCATAGTATCTCTGTTACATGCCAACTTCTTCGTCTCGAGAACCGCTTCGTTCCCTCAATTCCCAGTTCTAGGGCATAGTATATACACCCGAGGGACCAAGTATACTGCAATTTCTACCACGAAGCAGAGCTTGCTGGTTCTTTCGTCAGATAACTCTGTTGTCTTGGAATTTTCCACTCACAGTGCGTATCTCAAGTTTGAAAACCCAGTGTACTTGCCTATTACTCCATGAATGGTTACTACCTGTCCAGCGTCCTGCTTTTCCGTTAGCACTCATTGTCTGGCTTCACCAGCTTCAGGACATTTGACAACGGCTCCTCTCGCAAACGTCTCTGTTTTTGACAACTTATCTCCACATATGGCGCTCTGTCACAGCTTGTTAACGTCCATCCGCACTTTTCTAGAGTCATGGCGCCTTCTATAGTTCTATTCACAAGCCTCCCGTTCGTTCTTCGGCCCTTTGTCCTGTAATCGCAAGGGCCGAAGCAGTTTCCGAGACAAAATGTTAGCGCACTGTCTCGGTCGGTGTCTGCGGACGGCCCGATGATCTATTGTTGGACGCTTCCCCGGCCTCGTCGGGAATAGACATGCCCCATAACCGGTCTATGGTTTGGTTAATCCATTGGGCGCTTGTTCGGCCATGCTTGATAATTCTCTGGTTTAAACGCGAAGTCGACTATTGACCACCGCGTGAAGTCACGCTGGTGTCGTGAATTAGCGCCCGTCTCAGCCGCCTAAAGTGAGACATACAGATATAGGGCTTACCGGGTTGGCCAGCCATCCTTTCACCAAGTTGGTCACCTACGCACCTATCGGGACGGCCAGCCAGGATATCATGAAGCGAGGCTCGCCTTTTAACTCACGTCCTGACGCATTTGACTCTGTGGCTGAAAAGGGCCGGGGCAACTCAACATGAAGCACCCTTTCCTTAAAGAATGAAGCTAAAGCAACTCACACACCGGGTAATATCGTCAATACCCAATGAGACTACTTACAACCAATCCTCTGAAATTACCCCTGACAAAGTTCCTTCTTTTGTCTCTTGAAGTTCCGCCAACCTCGAAGAGCATTCTTGACACATCTATCAAAAGACGCCATTCAAGCCATCCAGCCGGCGGGATCCGCTTCATCGGTTCACGTAGTTACAGCAGGTCTATCTCGTTCTGCACACCGTGGAATCCTACCACCGCATAGGTAGTCACCATCGAATGCGCCTCGGATATAAACTGCATGTTGGAAAATTGCATGTCGATTTCCTAACCGCTGTTCTATGGGCGATACACATACCTATCTACAGGCTGTGAATACCATTCCAAATTCTCCTTCCTACTCACTCACCCTTTCCCACTTCAATATAGTTTGTTCCTTTATTCTCTGGGAGTGTCTCGATGGGGTGATACTCTTTTTTACGCACCCCTTGCTTGCCCTTATCCATCCCCCTTGCTCGGCTAGTCCTTGCCGTAGTGTAGTCCCCCGCGCTTTTGTTGATCCCGTCCAGTCCCGCCCGCTCCCGTTTCGTCTCGGTTTCGGTTCCCCCTTTTCCTTCTTTTCTTTTTCCCTTCTCGGTCAACGGACCGGACAAGGAACAGCGTAGCAACAGCTGAATGAACATTGACCTAAGCCTCACTTATGACAGACAGTGTGAGGGTCCAGTCTTCTTTGAACTTGATTTGCATATTTATGAACAATAGTCTTGTTGGGCACCTGAAGGTTTGGTCTTGGATGTCGATCAGCGTCGGCCCGGACTGGATATGTCTGGTGCAATTTTCGCTATTGTAGTAGGGTGTTTTCTGGATGTGGTTCAAGATTTTCAAGATTGTTATCTGCCAGTGACCAAACGCTTCTTCGTGCAGGTGAGGATATCTTCAAGTTGCAAACCTCCCAAGTGGCAATGTTTTTGGCGTCATATCAGGAAGGTGCCTTGATAACTCCTGTCCGGAATCCGGAGTACAAATCCTCTCGGAGCTTCTAAGTATGTTCTCCACCATGATGGAGGAAGCGTTTTCAAAGTGCCTTGGGCGGTAGAGATTGTACATCCGATGGTCAGGATGGAGAGGAAGATAGGGGAAAAGGAGGGAAACAAGAAGAGGGAGAAAAACAAAAAGGCCGGTGTTCTTTGCTTGGAGTGACGCAAGTCCTGTTCAGGTTCTGAACGTTTACTGCCTCTCAAACGGCCTTCACTCGGGCTCCAGTCCTGCCGCACCCGCTCAGAGATGAGACGAAAATATGCCCCTCATAAGGACAAACTTCCTGCCCTCCTTCCAACAACAACAGCCACTAATCTCCCATATAGTGCATAGGTTTAGCATATTGGATTTTCAACTTCCACATTGAAATCTCCAAAGACCCGGGTTCGAACCCCGGTGTGGGAAATGGCAACTTTCTTTTTCGTCCTTTTTTGGTCGAGGACATTGTTTTTTTTTGGTGCCGAGTACCTGTACTCCGGACCTCGACATGTGCCTGCCTTTGCGATTGGGAGGATCTCAAGACGTTTTTTCTTGGTTCGCTTTCAATGAGGCAAATTCCGCAAACTAGAGGTGCTAAGGTGGCGGAGATATAACAAGGTCAGTGAGAACAACAACAATTCGTGAAGAGTGTGACTGGAATTTAACTTTGTGGATGGCATACCCAGTCCTCTTCCTTCCATTTAGTCTGCCTTCAATTCGTGGAGTACCACCTCGATGAGCAAAGTCAATCGTGATGACACTATATTCCGTGACGGTCGACAGTCCTCGCAACCAATATGTAACTCCGGCTATCATTACAATCACAACATGGCGGAAAATGAAGCCGCACCAACCATCGATGCCATACCGCAACCAACGCTCGAGGCAATGAATCCAAACAACGAACCGACCACTCCACTCAATGTCTCGTTAACAACAACGCAATTCTTGGACTCTACATGATTTCCTCACTTGTCTACGCCATGGAAATTCATGGTTTCCTTTGCCAGAGTCTGGTCCTGACAGGCCATTGAATATCTTGACGGCTGCGGAGGTGTATGGTGGGAAGCAGTTCGGTTACCTAAGGTACCAAGGTAGTAGCGGGACACTCCTAACGAACTACCATCGAAGAGAACGAGCTCTGCATGGGGCAACGGGGTAATGGAAGAATTTGGGAAAGGGCGATGGAGAAAAATGGTGATTGCCGTAACATCCTGTTGAGGAGGACTGATAGGGGAGGAGGTGGAAGGTGGAAGGGGAAGGGGTGAGGATGAAATGGGAAGTTTGGAAATGGAAAATGGGGAAAGAGCGATGGGGGGTATCGAACAGTGATAGTGATTGGGAAAGATGGGAAGATGGAAGACGGGAAGGTGGAAGAAAGGAGGGAAGGTGCTGGCTGGTCTGGATGTGCCTGCTCTGTGCAGGCGAACAACTAGCAACTTCACCACTTCTAGGGCTCTTAATTACCCGCCTGGTAAACATCAACGAAGGTACCACTGATTACGAATTTCTCGTTTCGTCCACCAATAGATTGCCGCAAGTTAACGCTGTCCTAAAGCTATTAGCACACCCAAATACAAAAGCAAGCAGCCTTCCCGTTCCCATCAGTAGCACCAAATCACATCCCCAACATCCATCAAGATCATATCCTTTGATATTACTTTGCTTTCCCGAAGTTCAATTTCCAGAGATTATACGGTAGTGAGTCAACGAGATTAAGCAAGCTTGTGGGCAAAAGGACAAATCACGCACCGAACATACCCGTACGTACCATCAGAAGAATCTCAATCAGGAACGCTGCTTGAGCACAAGCACTTTGATTTTGCCAAATAACCATAATGGTAGCCACTCATGCAGACATACTCCCATCCCTCACTTCCCAACAGCACACAACCTCGCCCTAACCGGCACATTCTCCTCCCTCCCGACCTTCGGGAAACCCTGTAACTTCTTCCCAACATCCTTATTGAACACCAAACAATGCGTCGATCCTCCAAAGTGGAACATACCCAACTCATCCCCCTTCTCAACCCTCTGCCCCTCCTTAACCGTGATCTCGCACGAACTAACCTCGTCCATCCCCACCCCGATGAACGCCATCAACCCAATCTCCTTCGCCTCCGCCTCAATGAAGATGATCGCCCTCGTCGCCAACGCCGTCAAGTACCCCTGGCTCGCCGTGATCCCCTTTTGCAGGATCTCGTACTCGCCTTCCCTGCCCGTGCTGTCCACTGAAAGATCATCAGATGCACCACTAGCCGGGAAGAGCGGCTCAGAGAAATACGTCCCGTCCTCGACATACGCACGCTTGATAGTTCCCGACACGGGCGCGTGCCACCGGTGATACGAAAGCGCCGACAAAAAGGCCTGGTAGACGGTCCCGCCGGCGAAGTGCTCGCTGAGCGGGTCGTGCGCGAGCATGTCCAGGACCGAGTACGGCTGGCCTTTGACCCAGAACTTGTCGCGCAGATGGACGTCGTGGGCCAGAGCGTAGGGTTTGGACTCGCACGCGTTGGCCACCACCAGATTATCCTCGGGCGAGGCGACGGGGCGGGCCGAAGGCACGAAGCGCCGGGTGAAGAAGTCGTCCCAGGATTTGAAGCCGTAGTTGGGCGCCGAGGGATCGCACTGGTACATTTCTTCGAACTTGTACGAGGTGCCGGCGGCGGCGTTGGCCACTTCCATCAGGTCTTTGTAGCCTACTTCGCCGAACCAGCCGGCGCGGTGGTTGCCGAGGACGGAGACGGAGTCCGGGGATTTGAGGTACTTGCCCCATTCGTTTAGGATCTTCTTGAGCATGCGGTTCACGTCGGGATCTAGGAAGGCAGCGTGCCCGCTGGGTGTGCTGGAGGCGTAGTCGAAGATGGCGGCGAGAGGGACGCCGACCATGCCGACGCCCGCTGCGGCATCGGTCCACTCGGGTGCCCGGCCAAAGACGTGGTTCAGCACTTGGAGCATGTGCTTGTAGTCCCGGATTTGGCTTTGGCCGGTAACGTCTCTGTTGTAAGGGGGCTTGTGAGGGACTTCGTCCCACATGGAGCAGAAGTACATGTGGATGCGGGTGTTGTTCTCGATGAGATCCTGGAACTCCTTGAGAACGGGAATCAGCTCTTGCTCGCCGACCTTGTCGACGTGTTTGACATGGTGGCCGAGCCAGTGTTTGAGGATGCGGTGGTCTGCGGGCAGCCATGCTCCAGGCCTGGAATTGTTAGGATTCAGCCCATCATGTATGACGACTTGTCGGCGGTTGAGAGAGTGTTCTTACTTATGCACCCGATGCTCGTCCGGAATGTCGTGGTTGTTTCCGTGCTGGTAGACCATGTTGTCGACTTTGTAGGCACTTGGTTACTTTAGATGACCGTAATACTATGTCCTATTGCCGAGGCCTGTCTAGACGGAACCATCATGATCATTTTGTAGTTTCCCAGAGGTCTGAACAAACAACATCAATGATGTAACCGCCCCAAAGTGGTGATGCGCTAATGAACCGTTCCTTGGCAGGAGTTTGCAGATCATCCAAAATCAAAGGGGCGTTGCGAGATCCGTCCAGACATTATTCACGGATTTAATTCCTTGTTTTTGCTCCGGATATAAGCCGCGTGTACCCTCTTGTGGTCTCTCCGGTCCTTGTCATTCAGGTAGTTGTAGAGCATACTGCACTCTTTGCAAACAATGAACTGGGGCCGTGCTTCACCAATAGCGAGGCTCAAGGTGGTCTGCACCATTTCCTTTGTTGGGGTCTTTGATGTTCGCTTCTTTTTGGCAACAAGCTGTTTCGAGGTTGTAGTTCCTGTAGAATCGGTCTCGGTTTGAGAGGCTGAAGGCGTGACGATCGGTGTCCTATTCTCCGCTCCTGGTGTCTCGTCCCCATTTTCCTTCATTTTCTTGCAATCTTGATTTTCACCATCGTGTGCATCGTCGAAGGTGGGACGGGTGGTCAATCTGCGGCGCTTTCTCTGTCCGGAGCTAGAAGGCGGCGGCGAAGGAGGTGTCGATATCAACTCTTCGGAGGCAGATGGTGCGGGCGTAGTCGCTTTACTGGGTGCGGCTGTCTTGGGCTTTGCCTTGAAGTAAGACAGTATCGATCCGGACTTGGGCGCGTTTGGCTTTGGGCATTCGTCGGACGGAGGAATGGTGCCTGGTGAGCTGGGCGGCGGCGGTAGCTGTGGTGCTGGTGTGTCTTCTGGACTCAGCTGTCGTGGCGTCGAGGATTTCGAGTCTCCTTTGGCGGCGGCGGCGGCAGATCGCCTGCCATATGTTCGAATCGGCTTCTTGCGCTGTTGCGTCGTCTGACCCGTCTCGACTACTTCTGCCGACATTGTCGACCTGATCGTCTTTTGTGATTTTTCGTGTCGATTGTGGCAGTTTGGGGAGATGACTGGAAAGGCGATTTGACCAAAGTGGCAGTTCTTTGCTGTTTTGTTTACTTTCGAGAAATTGGTTTTGCGCAAAATGCGACTGCGCCCCGCGTGAACTTTCCTCTTCGCAGGGATTGGAATGGGCATTACGTGAACCGCGACGCGTCTGGTACGCGAGTTCACGCTGCCAAGCCATCGCCAAGTACAACGCTCAATGACGTGGGGCCCACCACAGCGACTTCGGATCCCTGCAAGCAATCGCCAAAGTAAACAAACCCCCAGAATCATCTTCCCACACCCTCTATTGATATGTGCATTGATTGAGTCTATCGACAAGTTACTAGTAACTCAGTTTAGAGCTATTTCTTGCGTCTTCTCAGGTTTGTGTCCTCGGGCGTAGACTCTTTGCCCTCAATTGCAATCGGCTTGCCCGCTGCCTCTTTCTCTTCCGGACCAACGACCCACGTCTGAACCACCTCCTTGACTTCCTTGAAAGTCTTGTCCTTCTTCTTCGCCTGACCGAGATGCCACACGTAGCCCGAATACAGGGCAACTTCAGCAACACCTGCAATGATACTGCCACCCATTGTGAGGAATATCCTAGCCGGAGTGCTCCACCAACGCGCCAAAATCCAAAGAGTAGCTGCCACGCCTAGAATGGTGACCATGAAGTTGAAGATGAGCATCAGTTGGCGGTGTACCTCGTCATAAGTCACATCATCGTCGCCCATGTCTTCCTTTCGGGTAGGTCTGTTGGCTTCGGCGAATGCCCGAGCCATGCCCGCGCTAGATGGGAAACGTTGCGAGAAGGTTTCCATTGGTGGGACGGGGTTGATCATGCGCTCGTAAGCGCGCTCCTCCTCATCACGGCAGAGTCTAGCCATCAACGCTTTGTATTCATCGGACTTGACGAGAGTTAGCTATGTCTCCCATGATGGGGAAGTGAGAGGTCGACTTACCGGCTCAGGCTTCGGCGGTGGTGGAGGCACATAAACCCTGGAACCTCTCAACAGTATCTCCAAGCTGTACTTTTTATTGTCACCGGCTTTGAGTAAATTCCACAAATCCATGATCTGGCCATGTGAGATGGGTGCACCGATATTGGCATCGCTGAGTGACGGTTCGCCATCTCGCTGCAGTTTACTTGGCGCATCTTGAACACATTGGAGAGCTTCCAAAATGGAAGGGGTCACTGTGAGGAGGACCATGATAATGTGTGATTTGTGTGCGTACGATGTTGAGATATGTTCACTAAGCCGATTGAACACTTGTTTCTGTTTCAAATACCAACAGGCTGAAGTGTTCCAATGTCGTTGATGTGATCCTCGGAAGCTGTTCCTGATGTTGTCACTCAATGAGGTGCAGTGGAGTCCTCCACGTTGCTGGAGCTCGGATGGAGCTTGAATGGAGCTTGCCTGAAAGTGGAAGATGATCTGCATCACCAGCCTCGAATCACTCGCAGTTCTTGGCAATTTCCCCAGCTTCAGCCTCTTTCAGCCACAGAATAGGGACAAATGCCGCAATGCCAAGCTTTTGGACCTGCAGAGAGGGGCATCCGCTGAGAAAGGTGATGATCCGAGCGCCAAATTTTTGGTGGATGGAGCTTTCGGGATCGGATGAGGAGCAGTCGCAGTTAAGTGATCGCAGTTGTTGTAACGCCCATCGGACCTACCGAAGACCACCACCACCGTCCACCACACCCACTTGCCCGGACACTTGGGCTGAGCCGCCGAGTACTGTACTTGTAGTGCCACCACACGACCACAGAAAAAGTCCATCTACTGCTCAACCAGTGACCCGTCACACCCGACGAAAACCAAAGAGAGAGCTGTTTTTATTTACTTCCTCGACCGACTTCCTGCCACCACCCGATCGGTCCTCAACACCACGACAGTCGCATCCCAGCTCCGGAAACATCCCTCCATGCAAGAGACGCTTGCACTGAAACACTAAACAGTCAATTGGTCCTTCTCGACAAGAAGGACGTGCGCGGGAAACACGGGAAACATGCAGCTCCGGACGGGAGCGGCTTCGGTGGTTCGGACCGGTCTTGGTCTTACACAGTCGAGATGTGCCGTACAAAGCCTTAGAACAAGGACAAAGCCAGTGGTTCCCCTCGAGCGGAGGATACGGCAGTCCAAGGCCCTCTACCACAACACCAAGAAGAACGACTCGGCATGGGCTGCCGCTGTCTCGGTTGCCGGCAACATCGTCAACAATGCCGTGAACAAGGCCATCAAGGGCACCGACGGTCTGCCCACCATTGACCCTCTCCGTCTCGTCGCCGGCGAGATGAAGTTCCTAACAGGCAACATCCGCAAACTCCTGGGTTCTGGCCACCCCTCGCTTGACCGCGCCGCCAAGTACTACACACAGGCCGAGGGAAAGCATGTGCGCCCATTAATCGTCCTCCTCATGTCTCGCGCCACCGTTTTGTGCCCCAAGGCCCCTCAAAGGCAACAATCGACTCTCCAGGCCTCGGCTGCCATTGATACCTCGATCTCGCCTCTCAACATCCTCTCCGACTTCAACCCTTCCGCCGCCATTCCCGCCTCCGAGACCACTCCCGCAGATACCGATATCCTGCCCTCCCAACGACGACTTGCCGAGATCACCGAGCTGATCCATACCGCCTCGCTCCTTCACGACGACGTTATCGATCACTCCGAGTCCCGCCGCGGCGCCCCCTCCGCCAACCTCGAGTTCGGAAACAAGATGGCCGTTCTGGCCGGTGACTTCCTTCTCGGCAGAGCTTCCGTCGCCCTTGCCCGCCTCCGCCATGCCGAAGTTGTCGAGCTCCTCGCTACCGTCATTGCCAACCTTGTCGAGGGCGAGTTCATGCAGCTCAAGAACACGGCTCGCGACGAAAAGAACCCCAAGTGGTCCGAGGAGACTCTCACCTACTACCTCCAAAAGACCTACCTCAAGACTGCTTCCCTGATCAGCAAGAGCTGTCGCGCGGCTGCGCTGCTGGGCGGCTCTGATGCGGCGACCGTGGATGCTGCTTATCTGTATGGCAAGAACCTCGGCTTGGCTTTCCAGCTGGTCGACGACATGCTGGACTACACTCGCAGTGAGAAGGAGTTGGGCAAGCCTGCCGGTGCTGATCTAGAGCTTGGCTTGGCGACTGCCCCTCTACTGTTTGCCTGGAAGACCATGCCGGAGCTTGGTCCATTGGTTGGCAGGAAGTTTGAGAAGGAGGGTGACGCTGCTAGGGTACGTTTCCCCGCCCTGCTTGCGGTCTGATCTCACACACAATTGCTAACATGGTCATGAACAGGCAAGAGAGTTGGTTCTCCAGAGCAACGGTATTGAGCAGACCCGTGCTCTCGCTCAGGATTACGTTGAAAAGGCCATCGAGGCCATCAGCGGATTCCCAGACAGCGAGGCCAAGGATGGCCTAATAGAAATGGCCGTCAAGACGATAAAGCGCAACAAGTAAAGCACCAAACATAAAAAAAGAGCAACCAGCAGTCATTGTAACACCTCCTGAACGATAAACATCAGATGAGAAATGCATATATATACTACTATGTAGCCCCTGGGTAGAGTGGCACACCATCAAGCATAGGTAGCCGACATGTGTTTGGCTACGGGTGTACAAGTACAACAACAAGGGAAAAGGGAAAACGGGAAAGACAAAATGGACTGACCGACGCCACAACCACAGCTAAAGCAGAAGGCTTTGTGTGGATGTGGATGTGGATGTGGATGGGCGGACGACACATACACACATACATGTACTATTCATCATCTATGATTTTATAAGGGCGCATTTGCGGGAGCAATGGGAAGACGAATGGGATTGTGGTTAGAAGAAAGAACCTCCGATTCAGCTCAAAACCATGGGATTTTCAAGGCACGACATACGTTTCTCTGATTTAGTGCATGACTCGATTTGGACAGGGCAGTCTTTTGGTTTGGAAACGTGCAATGGTAAATACTATGGCTACCTCAGGTAATGTACCTTAACATGAGATCCGGGAACTCATGCTCGTGATACTGGCTAACCATTCCCCCTTCCATAGCCTTCATCATGTACATCCGATTCAAATCCCATTTTCCTTCTTCTTTCCTACCTACCCCTCTCCACTACAACTTATCTTCTACCACAACTGCTAAAATCCTCATCCCCCGCCCTATCATCCTTCCCTTACCCCCGATAAGGCCTCGACCACCACTCCGCCTCCATGGTGTAATTGTTGGCGTCCTCGGTGGTTGGAGTGATGGTGACGATGACGGCGCCGGTGACGGTCACGGTCACGGTGACCCGGTAGCTCGATGAGGTGTGGGGAATCATGGCGATGGTGAATTGGTTGGCGCTCATTGTGACGTTTCTTGGTTGCTTAAGGAAGGGTACCGTAAGTAGAGGTAGTCAAGTGGTTGTGGTGATGGTACCTGTAGGTAGGGAAAAGAACTGTGGAAAGGTGTTAGATTTATATATATATCTATATCTATGTAGGTGGTGAGGGAGGGAGACTGGATGGTCGATTTCTCAGGAGGAGAGAAGGGGGCGGACATACTATTTTTGTACTTGCAATTTGCAGGTTTGGTATCTTTTACCCCTATAGGTGCTCTTGGTAGTGGTATGGGTTTGATGTTGTTGTTGTTGATGTTTGTCGTTGCTGGTATTGTCGTTATGGTTGTTTTGCGGTTGAAGGCTATCAGTGATGGTTGATCGTTTGTCAACTCCTTGCAAGCTTGGTGACAGATAGGTCAGGAAGTGGTGGGTTATTCGGTCGAGGTCGAAATTTCCGCTGATCAAGATGATGATGATGATGATGATGATGGGAGAAAGAAAGAACTGGCAACGGAGAAATGGGGACGGAGGGATCTTATACTCTAAGGAACAGCAATTTCTGCCACCGGGGCGGACCAAGGTTATGGTTTGGACACGCTGGACCCTTCACCATCCTCCATGGGAGGTTTGAACAAGACCTTTCACCACCCAACACGGAACCATTTAGCCTTGTCCAAGGAACGAAATCGGGTGAATGTTACCTACTGTTACCAATACATCGTGGAGTACCAGAACCCGCCTGTTGGTTAGACCCGTTACAGCTTCCTTCATATCGATCTTCACTGCAGCGCCGCATCACGAACTACCGGGCAAGAATTCAGCTTCAAGGCGCAAGGCACCCATACCATAGCCCATTTCAGGTTCTACATGGCAAGTCCGGTGTATAGTATCATCCGGGACGGCTCAGGTTCTGTTATCCGGCTACGTACGGGAGTGGCATTCACCCCGTCTCTCTTCTTGGACCAGATGGTTCCATGGTTGGTGAAGGGTCTTATCCAGAACCAAACCTTGGTCCAAAATTCCTGATTTTTAAAGTATAAAATCCCCCCCCTCCCCTCCATTTCTCTACTACCATTTTTCCCTTCTCTCATCATCCTTATCTTGATCACCAGGAATTTCAACTTTGACCGAACAGCGAACTTCTTCACCTACCTGCCACCAAGCTTGGAGTTGACACATGCAAACGATCAACCATCATTGATAGCATACAATCGGAAAACAACGATAGAGACAGCATCATCAACGATCACATCAGCAACGACAACATCCACTATGACAACGTCAGAAACAAGACAAACACATCAACAGCGACACAATCAACAGGTGTATCAGTACATAGGCAAAAATAAACGCTACAAATTCTAAGTACAAATTTGGTTCCACCCAAAGGCTATCCAGTCTCTTGTTTTATTTTCCCCTAGGACATCACCATCTTGTCTTCGTCGCCGTATATAGAGGTAGCTAACACACTTCAACGGTATTCCACATTCAGAACCCACCTCATCCACACAAGATGTCGTCCCAGCAGGATTTTGTCACCGTTCAGATCACGGTGCGCATTCCGCGTACCCTTCTGAACAACACGAACAGTCATCATTTTGTCATCGAGGTTGCTCCTGGCCAGGAGCACCAGACTGAGGCCTCGACTACCACCCATATCCCTCACACTATCTCTGGCCAGGAGAAGACCTCAACCACCACCGCCGAGGAAGGTACCAACGATGCCGCGGACTCAGCCGTCCCTGCTCACAACACTCTTACGTGTAGCCAGCACAAGCGCCGGCCGCCAAGGTTACTACTACACGTAGTGACCGTGTAGTGAGGCCCAGCCGAAAGGCCAGAGAGAACATGACCCAAAACACCATGTAAAGAAATCACGAGATTCCGCGAATGCTTTTGCTAGAGGGGTTTCCAGAGCAGGTTTTGGGAACGGCTTAGTAGGGTAGGTACCTAGGTTGGGCAATGCCTGGCGGTATTATGGAAGGTGGACTGGACAGTTTGCCTAGATAGCAAGACAAGATGTCGTCTCAATCAGGAACATTCATCTCAGCCTTTGTCATGTACGTCATGATGGTGGGTGAAGATATGGCAGGCATGAATGGGTGTAGTTCAGACAAGACACTCGATCGATCCCATGGTTTTACCTACCCAAAAGTTTCCAGATACACAAAAGCGTCGAGCCCAAGACAACAAGTGCACCGTGGAATTGCATTTCCGGGCACTATAGGGAAAGATTCCCCGGTTACCTCCATTCTTTTGACTTCCCGCCATGGGGAACAGCGACACATATATAGAAGGCACGCCCCTTGTGTTGAGAAGGAAGGCATCGCGACGACGAGAAGGATCCAAGCGATACAACGAAGGTGGCCAACAGTATGAGGGAAAGAAGGCATTCACAGATGGCTGATTGGAAGCCAGGTTTGTCACGAAATGCCCTGTATATAAACCTGGCCTCCCCACGCTTTTGGGAGGTCTTCTCTTCTCCCCATCAATCACACACTTTTCTACCCAATCAATTGGATATAGACCCTTCTTCGCTTACAGCCTACTTCAAGATCTCCGACAAATCGATTTCAAAACACAACGCAAGCCAACCTCAAGTTGTTCATCACCTCGAACACAAACCAAACAAGCATTCATCAAGACCTTCGTCGACTTTATCAGCACAACCAAGCTACACCATGTCGACCAACATGAAGCCCACGACCACTGCCAGCCTCCTGAAGGAGCTGAGCAACAACCCCGCCGAGAACGCTGCCCTCCAGTTTAGTATCGAAGCCAAGCACGTCAGATTTACCGATTTGCAGCTGTACGCTCTGCGCTTTTGGTACGACCAATACCACATCCTCAACCACGACGTGCCGCGCGCTTGCTTACTATCCTATCGCCAAACTTATCAGACACTTTCCTTCATTAGCAATTCGAGCTTCCCCATTTAGAGGTATCCTCCGTGACGTTTGGTCAACAGAAGTTTTCTTCATCACGAAAATTAGAGCCCTCGGACAAGCAAGCAGTAGAAATTGTATTGACAGCGTGTAATATTTTAGTTGTGAACAGAACTCTTCACCATATGCATCTATGGAACCATTTGGTCCAAGGAGAAATTGGCTGAATGCTACATCTTGCGGTACTCGGCGGAATACCGCATAGACTCAGGAAACCCGGAATCCAGCTACTGCAAAGCCTTGATAGATGATTGGCAGGACTGCCAGCTTTAAACGTAGCAAAAGGCAGAGCGCAGCTCGGTGTGCTTTAAGCTTCATGTTTGGAATTTCTGAGAGACGTGAGGGTGATTTTCCTCAAATCTGTTAGTACATGGCTACACTACCGTATCTTATGGTACTTGGCAAAATGAAAGTGCTTTTTGATTGAGAACTCTGATGGTACGTACGGGTATGCCGGTGTGTGCACAATCTGTCCTTTTGCCCAGTTTGCCTGCTTGCTTGATCTCGTTGACTCACTAGACGCAGTGATGCAGTATCTTAACTTCGCTTCGCTTCTTGCATCTGGCCTGTCGGTGTATCTTGCTACCTCTATAAGTAGGAGCTTTCGGTCATATGTGTATCTCCGGTACGGCTACGGACTACACTCGGATCTGTCGGTTTAGCCTACAGATATAATCCCCAAGCACCTGCAGGCATACCGTACGCCCAGCCCGGAGTAAAACCTCTTTCTCTCCAGCGTCTTGTATATACACGTATTGCTACAATCTTCACCTGATCCCGATACACACCCGCACTGCTCGTTATGGCTGCAGATGCTCGAAGTGTACACCTAACCTTTCCAGTACACCAGATGGGCATTCACTTCCCCTCACAGTTCAGACTACCGGTACTCTGCAGGTCCTTTGCCCAGCAACCTAGCACTCTATTTTGGGTGGCAACTATCTGCAGCATTCACCGATGGTGTTGAACCGGACCTTGATACTGCACAGCTGCAGTATAGAACCTACTTTACAGGTTGTAGGTCCGAGATGCACGTGAATGGCATGCGTCATCGCTCCGGTGAAGGGAGTTTCTGGGGCCTACTCAAACATTATAAAAGAGCTTCCCCGACCACTTCTTGGAGTCCTTCTCTTCTTTCCTTTTTTTTTCATCATCACAAAACAGTCTTGATCACCCAACAAGCTTGCTTACCTCTATTCATCTTGCAACCAGCTCTGCTGAACTCTTCTACAAGATTTACTCAAGATCTTTATCGCCAAACCGATCTGAAGAACAGGCAAGCCTACCTCTACCGCAAGTCTTTCATCACCTCGAACACAAACCAAACAAGCATTCGTCAAGACCGTCAACGACCTTATCAGCACAACCATTGAAGCTACCTCTACACGATGTCGACCAACATGAAGCCCGAGACAACAGCTTCCCTCTCAGAGCAGCTGCGCACCATTAACAGCACCAACCCCGCCGAAATCAGCGCGTTCATCGAATCCATCCGCGCCAAAGACGAGACCTTTACAGAGCTACAGCTCTATGCCCTCCGCTTCTGGTACACGCAGTACCACATCCTCGACCGCCTTGCGCCGTACGCTTCCTCACTGTCGGGCAGGCAGATCTTCAGGATTCTCCTGTCCAAGATGGAGGACTACGAGGTCGAGATTTTCCTCGAGCGATTGGACCTCATCTTGGCGCACTACCCCGAAAGAGCGCGTTGGCACAAGAAGATGGCGGAAGGAAATTTGGGAGGATATGGCCTGAAGGCCAGGGTTATGAAGAACATTTGGGGGGAGGAGTACTTGCAGGTGAACTGGGAGAAGGTTACCGAGGAGGAGAAGGAGTTCGTGTGGTGGTGGTAAAGGAATGGCTGGGCTGTGTTGAATTGTAGGAGCTTAACTCGGAGGGGGTTTGAACCTGATGATGGGTGCTCTTCAACACACAGGGGGGTTGTCCTGACGGGTGCTCTTCAAAATACTGAGCTTACTCCGATTGCAACCGGTCGTGGAGGATATAAAAACAAGGAGTTTTCAGTGAGGGTCATAATGATTTGGTTCGCAGGTGTTTGCAGGGACTTTCAAGGACTTTCAGGGAGGAATTGAGATGGATATGTGATGGAATGGTTTCTTCGGAAGGAATACCCCAGCGTTGCTTTCAACACATCGAGCGAAGCATCATCTAAACTGGCGTTAACGGAAATCAATTTGACCATTTGCCCCCAACATGAACTTTATTCTTGCTCTGCTTCATCGTAAAAACCCATGTGTTTCTTCAATATTGAAACATGTGATCCCGTAGACAACCAATCCTACCCGTCTTGTACCTTGCATTTGCTCAGCTCGGTAGCCGTAGACATGGTGAATTAGTCGTATTCCTTCCTAACAAGTTGTGTAGTATGTGTCCAACGAAGACCGTAGTTCCCAAGTCCAAGAACCTCTCATTCCACTTCAGCCCGCTCATGTAGTCAAAGTGCCACTGCCTGCTCAGCTTATCAAATTTGAGTAGACTGGATTGCTCTTTCCTTTGAGTTTCGCATTTCCCCAGCACCCAAGACAACAACGTAGGACGGGAGCAGCACTTCTCGAGTCCACTTGCCACCATCGCCGTTGCCAACCATGTCAACCAGACCATAGCCCGAACACCACTCCAGGTACATCCAGCGTCACCGCCAAGTCCTCCAACAACCACGACAAAATGGCTTTGACACTTGACAGCGGCCCTTCTCCAAGAAGAAAAGACGAAGCATGGGGAAGATTATTTTGATTGGACGTTTACACGCAGGAAGAGGAGTCCAGCATGTGGTTCCAACTCCGCAATCTCGAATAAGCAGACGGTAGGTAGTGAAAGCCACTGTGCAGGGCATGGGTCGTTTTTGGGAATAAGGTGGTGGTTGATTAGGAGGAAAAGCTAACTAATGGAAGCCCCAAGATTCCAAGTCTTTATACCTTCCCTGCTATGCGCACAGCGCACCTTCTCAGTAGTGGTAGCAAAAGAATGATGGTGGGCCACGAGCTCATCACAGTCTGTGAGTGCAGTTCCCCCCCCCTTCCTTCGCTTGGAGAAAAGAGTCGAAAGGAAGAGGGCAGATGACCCGCTACAAACGTGACTGGATACAAACCTAGGTAGACAAGAAACTTGACTTGTTACTGTAAAGTTTCCTACACGTACGTAGACCATGAGATCATGGCATGGCTCTATGCAGACCAGACCGTCAGCTTCAATAAGGTCATTGCATCCACCTTAGGCATTCGTTACCTATGAAAGACATCTGTCCGGCCAAGGCTGTGAGACTGAAGGGGAAGTGCGAGCCGGCCCGGACAGAAGAAGGAGTTCCGGTTGGTGTTGGTAGTGGTAACTCCGTCACTCCTGTCACTGGGAGTTCCCGGTCTCACACAGAGGGACAGAATTGCACTTGCCAACAATCATGAACTGGATCAACATCATGATGCATTTTTGCTACTCATCGGCATCGGATTTCCATCTACGGAAAAAAAAAAAAAAAAAAAAAAAAAAAAAAAAAAAAAAAAAAAAAAAAGAAATCTGTTGGAAACCGTACACGATTTCCACAGAAAAAAAATTTGGGCCTACACCGTTGAACTTGTACGGTCGTACCCGCCTTGCTCGCCTCCAGCCATCTGCGAATCACGAGCCAGTCGATGTTTCCGGACTGGAGGTCTCCTGGCTAATACATGAAGGAGTGTCCGGTATCGGTATGTAGCGGTAAGCAGCGAGGAGAAGCGAGCAACGTGTGCGAGACAAATGATCAGGTGATGTGCCCTGCGTCTAGGTTTTTGCCCTGCCTCTAGGTCTTTAACCTGCCTCTAGGTCTTTGCCCTCTGTCGTCAGTCTCCAAATCGTTGACACGGTGGCTTCATGTTGGTGCTGGTGCTGGTGTGCATTCGGCGATGTTGGAAGGATGTGGAAGAAAACCTTGATGGCACTGCCAGAAGCGGCAGTACCTCTACCGACATTGCTAGACGGCGCAGCTATTATGCTGTATGTGCATTTGTGCATAGAGGTGCAGACAGAGGGACAATGACGAATCAAACCGCACTTGTGCGATTAATGGGGAAAGGGAATGCGGATTTACTGTAGGGCACCTACATAAAAACATGCCCGATAGAGTTCCCTGCTTTTGATATGCCTGACCGATTATTTTGAAGTTGATGTCCGTTGTTGCCATTTCACCAAGCCCCGAGTGAAATGTCAGACTGTTACCAGGTGCCTCCAAGTTGCCCCTATTGCTTCCATGTAAATGACAATGATATTCTCCCGTGCATATTCGGAACCTTTTCTTTTTTTTTAAAAATTTTCTTTTTGTATTTCGCAGCGTCACAAACTTGACTACCTCCATCTTTCCTCCATATCGGTAAGAGGTACTGTTCGCCCTTGTAAGTTCCGGACCAATCCTCGAATGTGCCTGCTCCCAGATTATGCAAGTGACCTTGACGATGGGAGGACATGGAGGAATGCCGTTGCCTCTCAGTTTATGTAGCCCAAAGAAGCAACCGTCATGTAAGCAATCTTGGTCTGTATGGCGACGGTGAGCTTTGCATCTGCCATCAGACTCGGATCCCCGTAAGGCCATTGCGTACCGCCGAAGCTGATCTTCGGACTTCTTTATCTTGATGTTTGCGTATGTGTCTTCCAAGGCGATGCTTGATGTCCGTACATGATAGCCGGGCAGGGCGAATGCGTGCCAACAAGGAAAGCTCTCCCGTACAGACGTTTCTCTCGCCTGCTCCTACAAAGACCATCTGATGATCGGTCCCTCATCACATGTCCAGAGCGAGGCGTGTTGAGTCACCTCGATGTCGCCATCTGGAAGCATGAAGCTGTATTCAACATGCCCAACCCCGCCTTTGTGCCTTGTTGAAGTGCGAGACTGCTTCCTCCATCGATGAAAAACCTGACAATGCGATGCAATGAGCACCTCAACCAGGTGTCCTCTATGATCATGGCTTGGTGAGCCCTAATGTGCTCGCCCACCCTTTTTTTTTCTTATAAATTCTTCCCTCGGTCTTTCTTTCTGGTCATCACCTCCCAAGTTCCAACCACAACTCCAACCATCAGCTTGTTCCTTCCGCCAGAGAAACCTTCAACAACCACTCAACTCGAGTCCAAACCACACGGCAAGAGTATCGTTCTCGTGATACGAGCCAGAAGAAGAAGCACTAACGGCATATTTCCGTCCAACCTCGTGAGTAGTGCAAGCAAGACCCATTTTCCCATCAATCATTGACATCAGAATCAAACCCATAGTCCGGGTGATAGAAAGCACATAGCCTCAAGGCGCTCGTCTACTGCCACTATAATCTATCTGCTCCCACTCCCACAATGCCCAACAACAGGAACACACACGCCATCCCACTCTACGCCCTCGCGAGATATGGGGCAGGCGCAGGGAGGCGGTACACACCGTATGACCGACAACTCGAGGAAATGGACTTTACCCGCATTCGAATTTTCAGGCCATACCAAGATCCAAGGGACACGGAAATTCCCAGTCCCGACACCTTTTACGACCTAAAGATAATGGCTTGCGAGGAGTGTGGGCATCGGGCTCGACCACGGCAACTCGAGTTCTGGATAGAGCATCGCACTGAAATGGGGTCAAGGCAAGTTAGCCATCGAGTCCAGCTTCAGGAGTGGAACTTTGGGCGTTTCCGCGATTGTTTTACGAGGAATCCCGCGACTGCCCCTGTGGTTGAGGTTTTTTGGCGGCCCTCGTTGGCAACTTTGCGATATCTGCGTGACGCCGTGTATGACGACGACGACGACGACGCAAGCTCGGAATGGAGTTCATACGCATAAGAGCGCGAGAACAACGGAATTTAGGAAAGGTCTGCTGGGTATTGGTTTCGAGTCATTATCATGTACAACCACCACACACGCACACGACAATCTGGGGTAGGGCTTCTGAGCCCAAACATGGTTGACACTTCTCTCTTGATGCAAGATGGAAAAAGAACACTTGGCCGTTTAGATGCCCTCCGCCTGTACTTTTCATGTCATAGTTTTACAACCGAACACGCCGCCATCTAGCTCACAATCTAGAGCTTCGCTTGTCGCTCCTCGTCGGGGTTCTTGACCTCGACCAACATTTTACCTGCATTCCACCACTGTCAGTGAATCGACGTTCGTGCATACAACCAGAGCTCAAAAGAGGCGTGACACTTACCAATGTTATCACCCTTATAAAGCTTGACCATGCCTTCATCCGCAACTCTGACGCCTCCCTTGAGGATGGTCTCCTTTCTCTTCAGCTTACCTTCGGCCAGCCACTGGGCGAGCTGACCGAGAGCGGTTGGGTACTCATCTTTGTAGTCGAAGACGACGAAGCCTTCCATTCTGATTCTCATGGTGATGACGTTCGCGATGTTCTGTAATTCGTCGTCAGTAGAGCACTCAATGTCGCTTGTTTTGTACCTAGGCATTGCTGCCCCCGAGTAACCACCCACCTTTGGCCCTTGCTTGTGCTCGGCGTTGTACTGGCTGATACCACCGCACATGACGAACCGAGCGCCCCTGGTGGCGCGAGCCAGCGCCATATCAAGTTGCTCACCGCCGACTGTTGCACGTTAGCCGTGATCACGAAGCAACATCTCCAGTCCATGTCGTCCCCAATCCATGGACCAAACCCCCTTCCCCCCTGCCACATTACCATCACCATCACTCAAAAACTCACCATTATCAAAATAAACATCCACAAAATCCGGCGTCGCCTCCTTAAACTTCCTCCTAAACTCCGGATCCTTATAATTAAGCGCCACATCCACGCCCCCCTCCTCCACCAACCACCTACACTTCTCATCATTGCCCGCCGTCCCAATCACCCTCTTGGCGCCCTGAATCTTCGCAATCTGCACCGCCACCGACCCCGTCGCTCCCGCCGCCGCGCTCACAACCACCGTATCCCCCTTCTTCACATTCCCAATCTTCATCATACCAAAATACGCCGTCAGTCCCGTCATCCCCAGCACACCCAAAAGATCCGTCGTCTTTCCACCAGGAGGCAAAAAAGCCGGCTTCTCAATATGCCTATCTGACAAAATCCCAATCTCGCGGATCCCGTTCATGGCGGTTACCACGTCGCCCGCCGCGGCTTTGGGACTGCGGGAAGCCAAAACGCGGCAGATGCACATGGCGCGCATCACTTCGCCGATTTGCACGGGCGGCACGTAGGAGCGCACGTCGTCGAGCCAGCCGCGCATGGCCGGGTCTAGCGAGATGTACAGAGTCTCGAGGAGGAGGTCGCCTTCGTTGAGGTCGGAGGGGACGGGGGCCGGGACGGCGCTGACGCGGAAGGTGTGGCCGGGGATGATGGGGCCCGTGGGGCGGTGGGCGAGCTCCAGTTGGAGGGAGTGGGATTTGTAGCCGTGGGTGTGGCGGAACATTTTGGCGGTTCTTTTTTTGGCTGTCCCTTTTTGGTGAGTGAGTGATGTGGATGGGTGGGTGAGGTGAGGTGAAAGGAGGTGTTCTGTTGTGAGAAAAGAAGAGGTGAGGTTGAAAGAAGGTTATACAATGTCAGGTGGTTGGTAACGGTGTGTGTGTGTTTGTTGATTGGCGTATGAGATGTCCAGTGATTGTTCAGCTTGGGTCGTTTCCCTAGTTCCCTTGGGTTTCACACAGATGGCCTCCTCGCTTAACTTGCCAAATAGGGGGGCGCTGAAGGAAAAGGGGTTCTAGAATTCCGAAAGACTTCTTATTTGGGGTGTGAGAAGAAGATATCTTTGAAGATCGGTTGTGGAATTCTAGAAAGAAAGAAAAAACCCCAAGTTTGTAATCGGAATTCGGCCGAGGTATGTTTGGGTTGGGAGATGGATGGTTGCAGTTGTCGAGGGGGCGCAGTGGAGACAACAGCGACAAGGAGGCCATCATCAGCTGTCCCGCCCAGCGGTTCGTTCTAGTGGCCCGCTAGGCCTCTTACGGGGCATCGCCCCACTCACCTTGCCGGACCACCCGGCAATGATTTCCTTTCTCGGACGGCAACCCCGGCGACCGTGACGTCGTCCGGACAACACAACACAACACAACGACATGCACATCATTACACAATGATCAATCGGACGAAGGAATAAACATTGCGCTACAAGAATCTAAATCCAAGGTGATGGGGGTATCGATGCCTACCTCTAGAGATAGGCAGATTAACGAGCACTGAGAGGCATCTCTATGTGCGTCCTGTTATCCGGCAACGATCTATATCCCCGATCTCAAACCCTTCGGCAACATGCAAGCCTCTTTCTCCCCTGTACCAATCCAGAACTCTTCCGGACCCAGAGGTAGGTGTCTATCTGCCATATCTTTTTGAATAAAGGCTTATTCCTTTTTTGTTTCCATGTTTTTCCCTTTATATTCATCACACAGTCCTTCCCCACCTACCTCCACGATGCTTCCCAGCTGCGCTCATACGATTGAACCGCAGGATAAGAATAAGAATAATCCTCCCACTTCCGATACCCATACTGGCAGCCAAGGACCAGCCACAATTTCCTGCAGACCTGTGCCCGAGGGTCCCCTCGAGCCCACAGTCGCTGGAATACTCCCGACTCTTTTTGGGTGAAACCTTCAGGGCATATCTTCACCTCGACAGTTCTACTAGAGGTAAAGGAGGAAGAAACTTCGGGCTGCTGGGGGTTTTTATTGTTGCCCGCACCGTTCACGTTTGTGCTTGTGTCAGAGCCATGAATAATAGCACGAGGTTCGTGTTGTTGTTGTTGCTGTCCTCGTCCCGAGCGGGACATGGAGGCGGTATTTTGACGACGGCACGTGCCGCAGTTCAGGTGAGAGCCTAACTCCACGGCAGTAGACCACCACGGCCGGCTAGAAGAGGAAGAAGAAGGAAACTGGGACTCAAAATGGTTGACTGCCGCACCGTTCAAGTTACTGTGGTCACCGCCGCCAAAGACTTGTTGTCTTGAGGTTCCTGAGTGAGAGGCGGCATGTTGACTCGTACCGTTCAAGCTACTATTTCCACAGCCATAACCACGCCCCTGCTGCTGCCCTTCATCAGCAACATCTTCAACCGTCGGACCCGGTCGTTGCTGTCCTTGTGGTGGTCCAGAAGAACCTCCAGAAGTGCCCCCAGAATTATTACCTCCAGAAGGACCATCCAGCCGCGTCAAAACCCCCTGCCCCCTCCGACGCCCCACCTCCCCATTCCGACGCTCAGCCTCACGTTCTCGGTGCTTAAAGAAGACATGCTCCCTATCTCTCAAGGATGAATAGGCGGATTCGTGGATCTCTAGTTCCACCGTCGCAGCCGGTTCGTCGGCAGCAACATCAAGACTCTTGTGGTAGATGAAGGCGTATAGTTGCTTGTGATGGTCAAGGATGATGTCGAAGATCTCGGCGGCGGCTTGCTTCAGCTCGGCGAGGGTAGGGGGCTTGGCTACCAGGACGTGTCTTTCTTTGTAGGCGATGATGAGGAATTCCTTGGCTGGAGCTGGGGCGGGGGCCGGGGCCGGGGCTGGGGGAGGACTCTGCTTGGGCTCGGGGTTGGGTTCAGGCTGGGGTTGTGACTGGTGTGGGAGTTGCTGAGGGGCGTGCAAGCTGTTCGACTGGTTGGAGGGACGTTGCTGGATGTTCCAGGGGTTGAAGGACCATTGATGGATGCCGTTGACTGGAACTGGGGGTTGACTTTGCTTGGGCTCGGGGTTGGGCTGCTGTGGGGGGTTCTGGCTGTTCGACCTGGGCTGGTTGGGGGGCAAGAAACCCCCCAGGGCGGTCCTGTATGAGGCGATGCCATCCTGGTTGAACCTAGAGATGATGGAGAGGTGAACAATGTGTTGTATTGGGGCGAGCGAGCAGATAAAAGAGCCCGAGAAATCATAGAAAAGGGCAAGTAGGAGGCTAACTTACGATGTATGCGGGTTGTTTGAGGGGTTGGAGGGTCGTCGCCGGTTGCTCGGGATGTTTGAAGGACGATCCAGGTCTAGGGAGGCCCGGTGCAAATATGATGAGAAGCGATCCATCTTGAAGCTGGAGAGATAGAGAGGTGAGCAACGTGGGTATGTGGCGAGCAAGAAGATGCCCGGAATAGCGGGAGGTATCCTGGAAGGGATAGCGACGAGGCTAGCTCACGATGGTCGGTATTCTTGTCGCTGTTGTTACTTGTGATTGTAGGTTCGATCGTTGGTGCTGGTCCCTGATGCTGTTGTCGGGATCAGAATGGATGCTGAGGATGCCGGGAGGGCTTGCTGAAGTAAGTATATGGTGGTCTTGATGCTCAAAGCAGTCCTCTAAAGGGGTGCTCACGTTGTTGCTGATCTACTGCTTGCCGTAGTCCTTCCTAAAAGTAACATTATCGACAATATCGTTGTCTTTCTGAGGTTGAGTTGCACCCAACCATTCTGTCCGGTATGGCCCCTCCGAAGTAGCAAGGCAGACACTGCACAGGAAGAAGCCAGAAGGTGAAAACAAACTGAATCTTCGCCCGGGTACTGAAACGTGCCTTGGATCGGGTCTGTCCAGGGGAGTGTCTGTCCAGAGGAGGGGCGCGCAGCGGCAGAGACTCACTCACATGCCACATCAACCACAAGTCTTACCAGCACCCCTCTCACCTGTTAGCATCTGCCAGGAAAGCAGTGAGCCCAGACCAGATAATAATGTCTACGTGGCAATGAACAGACCTGCTCAAAGCGTTTGGCGACTGTAAATGTGCAGGTGGTGAAGGAAAGGGTGCGAAGAGATCTGATGTCCTCCTTTACTTATGGGCCCGGCACACAGGACACTCGCCGGGCTGCTGCTCGCAGCTTGCATGCATGGTTGCATGTCGGCCAGGCTTGATAACCCCGATTCGGTCTTCGGCTTTTCCCCTATTGGCTTCTTCAATTCAAGGAACTTTTTCCTTGATGTGGGGTGCCTACACGAACCTACATTTCACCATGGAGGTATGCAAAGGTACCTCAGGGGTGCAGTTCTCTTCCAAATTCAATCTTCCATTTTCAATCCTCGCCTCAACACATACAGCTCGACCATTACCCCGATGCTCCCGTATACCACTCTCCGCTAAACAAGCCAACAACCCAGTCCCAAGGCACCTCCAACTACTACTATGAGACCACGCCGCCTTTGAGCCAGCAAGAAGCCGACTCCCGCCAGATGGCCACTGTTGCGCTCAGAGCCCCTGCTCAACCATCAACTTTCCAGACATAGTACCGTCGACAGCTGGCTAGAGGTAGTCGGCATTTCCATGTCTGCTAGCCACCCCGCTACTTCCACCAGGGGTATCCATACTCCCTATCCTTTCTTTATTCGTCAAGAACCAATCTAATACAGAAAGCAGTTTGGATTGTACTCTGTCTGCGCAAGCTCTCCTGTCGCCTCGGGCTCGGGCTGGGTCGTAGTACCAGCACCGGCAGAAGTTGAAGTAGGGGGGGTGGTGACCGTGTTGGTAGGAGGAGTGGTATCCGTGCTGGTAGATGGAGGGCTATGCGTGGTTCCAGGCTCATGAGTCTTGATATCAAGTCTCTTCATCATGATGGCCATGATCTCGTCGTGAGCGGTCAGGCGCTGGTCTCGTGTGAGATGGCCGCTTGTGTCGGAGTCGGATGAAATAACAGGCTTGGTTTGGGTCGTCGTACTAGCCCCGGTGGAAGTTGAAGTGGAAGCAACTGCATCCATAATCGCTTTCTCTTGACTGGTAGCTTCACGCCTCTCCGTTGTCCACAACTTGACTTGACCAGTTGGTTGCTCGTCGTGTGTAGAATGCTCATCCGTGCCAGTGTCAGATGCAATTCCCTGCTCGATCTCGGCCCCGTTCACCCAGACAGTGTCCTCGTATAACGCAACAAAGTGGTCCAGGTGTCGGCGTGTGACTGCTGGACAAGCGCGCAATTCTCTGCGAGTCCTACGTCGATCACGAGATCGATGGTTGTTTCGATGCCAGCCGTGGATGTGCGGAGGAGAATCCAGATGATCCATGGCTAAAGATGATGACTGGTGCGAACTGCGTTAGCTATTGCCCGTTGCCAATGTTGCTAGGGTGATGTGTGCTGTAGGGAGTCTTTAGTAGGTACCTGTCGGCTTGAGTGATGACTGAAGCAACGGACACTCGTCAGAGTATCTTGGGACTGCGTGGAAACTACCGAGTAGATGTGTATAGAGATATTATTGAAGGCGTTAAAGACACTTGATGTAGGCAACGTGTCCGGACGCAGATCTGTGTTGGCAGTTTCGACAACCATATATGATAGGCAATGGTGGGAAGCAAAGAAAGCGGTAATTGTGCGGGAAGGTAGCTGAGGACGTAGACAATTATACTAGGAGAGACGTTGATCCCTTCACTGGGTTAGCTATCAAGCCTGCAACATTGGATACGGGGAGAATTAAACGTTGACCCACCTTGGAGGGAGTGAATGCCACTTGGAGTAGTGACTAGTGAATGCTCCCATGGTCATTACTCCCTTTTCATCCGGAGAAGTTTGCGGTTGTAAAATATATTGTTGAGATCAGTATCCGTCTTCGAAACCGCGCAAGGCTCTGCGTTTTGAGTGCCGGTGCCAATCTTAACAGCGTACGTCCCGTCTACATATATATGTCAGTTAAAATTACCTTATAGCCGTCGTCCACGATGTGATGACTTAATGGATAGGATTCTCCATGCTCTTGGCACCTGTTGAATTTTCCCAAAGAAATCGTTGAAGGGTTGTAACGAGTGAAGATGGTAACGCCGATGATGAACAGTGTTGTGTGGACCACAGACGGACGAGTCTCCCTTCCGTTGGTCCTGAACATCTCTGTAGCGGCAATCCAGCGTCCAGCTTTATCTCGACACCTCAAGGTGAGGGATAGCTTCGATCACTAGATCTTCAGTCTTCTGTTCCCTAGTCCCCATCTCGTTGTCAGTGTTAGTGACCTGCTCCTCTTGGCCGTAGAGAGCACGAGCTGGGTGAAGGTGGCTTCTTGATAGGTTTTGATAACCTCAAAGGATCAAAAGTTCCATGACTGCATCATCCCGGAAGAATAATAATTAAGTTGATCAAGATCCACATGTTTTCAATCAGGGCACGTAGCTACTTGCCCGTTCCCACAGTGACAAAGCTGGCAAGTATTCTGCGTGCAACACTTGTGCACACAAGATATTTTGTAACGAGAAGTTGTCTGTAGTAAGCTCTAGTAGTGAGAGACAGGCTACCACAAGTAGTCCTAGCTACTCGGTTCATCGGAATCCAGGCTGCTGTTCTTCCACACGAAAAGTCCTCTCTATCCATCCTTAGTTCTCCTCCTGCTTCTCCTCCGGAAGTACCAGGCCGAGTTCAGCGGCCCTTTTCTCAATCCGAGCGACAACAACGCGACGAGCTTCATCTACTTTCGAACGGGCGTTGTCTATCGACTTCAGGGCCTTGTTCAGGGACTCTACCCTCTTTGCGGCGACCTTGGCCTCCCCCTTGTCTTGTAATGAAAGGAGAGCGAGGGCGGCGTCGAGGTGCTCGTTGTCTTTCTTGCTGGTGGCAATCAAGAAGGTAGCGTCACCATCCTTGAGGATCGAGTAACTCGACTCATGGAGCTCAACCATGGCTTTGTTGCCTGTTGAGTCGGTGAATTCGATCGACAGATGGACGTCGTCGCTGATGGGCTCAAAGATCTCCTTGGCTGTGCGCAAAAGGTCGGCAAGGCTCTTGGGCTTACCGACAAGGACGCGGCGGCTCTGGAAGGAGATGGTAATGAACGCCACAGTTGCTTTTTGGGGCGACGATTCGGAAGCAAGAAGAAGAGGCGGGGAAGAAGGACAGGTTGTTGAGGGCCTGGGATAACAGCAGAGTTAGTCACTGGTTGTAAAAAGATTTGGCATTTAAGCGGTACGACCAACGCTGGCCGCCAGCGAATGGTGCACTCGGTGAGGAAAAAGTGAGGAGGAGGAAGGCATATTGAAGGGTTGAAGGTATACTGACAACGTGAAGATGCTTGTTCTTGTTGCTGGTGATATCACTCGATCATCACTGTGATTCAGCTGCTCGCCTCGACGTGGTGGCTGTGTCGCCGATTCTGATATCGCTGCAGGTGATACTGATGGTAGGGAGGCTGAGAATGTGATCTGTATTGTAGTCGCTGACGAAGTTGCCCTGGTTGAAGATCAAAGAGAGTTGGAAATCTTCTTGTGCTGTGACCAAGCTGATGGAGGAAAAAGAAAGGCAAGAGCGAGAGAAAACAGACTCTTAAATTTTAACGTCGGAGATCAAATCCGGGCCGCAAGCAGAATAGGAGGGGCAGCAACAAAAAGCTCGACCCACCTTGAGTGATTGCCCTATTGTCGAAACTCGTCAATAAGATTTTATCCGATCCAGGAAGGCGCGGCGCGTCAGTTACAAAACAATAGGCCTGCTTGGCAGTTGCACTCCTTCCGCGGGCCGTCAACACCCGGCAAATCGATTCCCTCATCGTCTGATGTGTCGGATACTCCAAGACACGCCTCGCCTTCCATGTGCAGTAGATGACCGTTCGAAAATGTGGGATCCGTAGACCGTAACTATGAACGCAAGGAAGAGAAACCAGCATAAGACAGCAAAAAAGTGAGAATACGAATTCAAAAAACGCAGAAATAAGAGTGAGAAGTATACAAAACAAAAAAGAAGCAGATATATCCATGTCGAGAATAGGTAGTATATGAGGGTGTGAACTCCACAGGCGTTATGATAGGAGGGTAGTAACCTTGCCGCCCTTAAGACGGAGTGTCTATTACAGCACCACCGGCATCCAGTGCCACAAACCTATGGTTTCTCTTCCTTTAGAAGAACCTTACGAGGAGAACTGGCGTGTGTATCAAGGCCGTGTTTGTTCTCGTACGGTTTTCGTACAGCGCCTGAGATAACTCATCTCACTCAACCCAATTCGACGCAACTCCACTCAAATCAACTCAATTTGAGACCCCCAAGGCGAGTTACAACTCAATTCGAGGGCTCCGAGTTGAGTTTGGCAAGTTGGCCGCCTTCTTGAGTGCAAAACTTGTCGTATGAGGCCCTTTATACGAAAACCGTACCAGAACAAACGCAGTCCAACTAGCACCCAGCAACTCCAACCATGAGAATCATACCACCATCCTAGAATCAGGGAGCGTCGAAATTAAAGCCGTTCGATCTGAGCCATGACACGACAATGGACCGACACTACCTCCAATATATCGTCACAATGCGCTCACAGTCTGGCATATATGAATAGTTTGCAAATCAGTCTGGGCCAACGTACGACTAGCCGTCGAACTTGACCAGTATAACGAAAGGGGGCCCGAGTCAAAGGCGGCGGTGTGGTGGGCAACCCGGATGATCCGGGCTTCCGTAGAGTTGTACAGTAGGCCTAGGACGTCCTCTGGCAGCTCGATCGGAACTTTGAGGGGCTTGTGATAGTTTGCTGGTCTTGGATGGTAGATGAACCTCATAGTGACCAAGCACGCTGGTTAAGGACCATAAGATTCTGCTAGACGAGAGAGCTGGAGCCGACATGAGCAAGCCAGTCAGTCGGTTTCCAAAGCCGCTTCCGTTGCCATCATTGTCTGGTCATCATCTGTAGAGCCCCCAGCCGTTGTGGATTGCCATCTCCACTTCCAAGGTAAAAGGCCCCGGGCAGAAAACCGTCAGGAGCGATCGGTATGAGGAAGATCCAATGATTTAATGCCAACGCCGGAGGAGAGCAGCAGCAGCAGCAGCCAAAGGCGGGTCGTAGCAGCAAGAACAAACTGATCGAGCATAGCACAGAGACTAATCGAGCACAGAGAGGCGGAAAGGAAGAGGGGTTTGTAGTTGTAGCCGTAGTGAACTACTGCTTCTGGAATAGTCGGACTCTCCTCCCGCGACGGCACACTTTCGCTAAAGTCGTTGACAATCGCGCTGTTGTCAATGGCGTAGGCAGCTTCCTCGACTAACTAGGTCAAGGAGTCATGGCCGTTAGTGTTGTTGTGGAGGACCTCCTGTTCCTCCGCGCGAGCTGTCCTATCCGAGTCCGCGGAGGATGGTGTCGGTGAAGAAGAAGCCAGCGGGCAAAGGTCATCCACAGACTGAAGTCGAGGGCATAGAGGTGTGTCGCAGTGGACACGCGACTCAATCCGAGATTGTAAAATCTCATCATGACGTCCTCAAACCCCTCGATATAGCACCCACAGATTTTGATCGCTGCTGTGGCCTGCGCAGGGGTCAGTTTGGGTAAAGCGCTCGTCAATGTCTGCGAGACGAATGATAGGATCACGCTTTCTGGTCATAACGTAGTAGATGACTCGTGCGCGGACTTCGAGCACGTGTTGAGACACAAGCTCCGCCGAATCGGGAGGGCACGATGCCTCCTTTGGTCTTTGATAGCGGCTGTAGCCACTATCCGACTGCAAAGACATGGTGCTTTTTGTACTGCGATGCGGTGTGATTGTGTGTTGTGATGTGTGCGAGCATCAATCATACCCCGGCATGCCTTTATAGTAGAAAGGCTCTTGGTGAGCCTCTTTGGTATTCCCATAATTGCCGCGATTGTGCCTAAGAAATTCAGCGAAGTCAACATGAAGATGACGGTCCTCGGGTGCAATTTCCAAGAGTGACTCCCTGGTGGTAATCTTGGTTGTCATCTGCACATCTCCAGCAGGCTGCTCGGTTGACGTCGAAGGCACCGCCTGCTGAGTTCCGGTATTGGCTGGTTTGTTGGCGATGGCTTTGGCGTTCGCGAGGAAGATCATATCGCCGTCCTTGACGATATTGTAGCTTGAGGTATGGAGCTCTACTAGGCTCCTGGTCCCCTTCGGATCGGCGTAGACGATGGAAAGACGGAGGTTCTTTCCATCTGTGCCGAAAATCTCCAGGACGGTGCTCTGGAGTTGGCTGAGAGACTGAGGTCGGGCCACGAGAACCTGGCGGCCCTTGTAAGCGAGGATGATGAAGGCCATTGTTTCGTGGAAGGCGGCTCAAGCAGGAAGTGCGATAGCTTGATTGCAGAGCAGGTTCGTTGCGAGCTGCGAAGGAGTTAGTAGGTGGTGGTGGTAATCAAGCGCGCATATATACAGTGGCTGGAGAGATTTAATGGGAAAGAGATGACGGGGACAAGAGACGGTGCGCGGCAGGATATTTAAGAAGACGAAGTCAGTCATACGTACAGGGCGAGAAGGACTCCTCCAAATATTCGTAATGTCGCCTCTTGCTCACAGCACGTATGTTTGCTGTGACTACTGCCGATATTGGTCGCAATCCTTCCGCTTGCGATGGGAGTTATGGGCTGACGCAATGAGCGTTGACTGAGGGAGCTGATGGTACCGAAGCTGAGATTGTTATTGCTAAGGTACTTTCAGTCGCTTGTTGCTGAGATTGATGGCTCTGGTTTGGTCGCAGTCGCAGTCCAGAGTTGGTTGAGCGATCGGAAAAGCGCAAACTTTGTGTGATGACCAAGATGATGGAGAGGAGGAGAGAACTGTGTGAGAATAATAGGGCTTAAAAAGTTCTCCCGTCACCGAGCGAATGCTTTCTCCAGACCATTGAATAAACCCAAAGGGTTCGGACGAAAAGATAAGCACTCTTTGGAAAAACATTACGCATGATAAAAGTTCTCTCCCAGGACCTTCTCTAGTCCGAGCAGTAAATGGGATGAATGCTGTAGCAGAACGAGAGAGACATCCAGACTGACGCCCTGAGGCTATTTCTGTGTAGCTGAGACTAGCCAACGGAAAGACAAACGCCATGATTTCATCTGGGTTTTGGGTAGCCCAGAAGTAGATAGTGACTGGTCCCTCGAGCCCGTGCCCGCCGGCTTTGCTGCAAGTCCTGTGAGAGCGGAACGGGCTGGACATGAGCTGACCTTAAGCTGACCGATAAGCAGAGCCCGGGTTTCAGCCGTCTGTTGGCTTGGCATTGGTACTTTCGCAATTTGCGCAAAATGGACAATGGTATATCCTTTGTTGAGGGCCTCTTGGACGCTGGTAGCCGAAGGGGCTATGCCAGAGTTGGCGCTCGCTCCACGATGTTGGCGGATACGATGTATTATACCTTTAGCGTTTGCACTAGAGCCGATGTATATAGCTGTCTTTGAGCCGAGTTTTTCGAGGACGAGAATATAAACTCCCCAGTCTTGCGATGAGATATCGTTAGGTAGCGATTTCAGGAATTCAATCGTAGGGCAAGCCAGAAGCAAGCAAAAAACAGGCACTTCCCCTTACAGCTACACCAATTCCGCCTTATTCTTCTGCCAGGCTAGTCTTCCCGATCGTTAACCGCCTCTCGTGGCGCCGCAGGAGGCACCCACCACCGAGCATGTCCCGGACAGCGAAAAGCTTCCAGCCCAAGAGCAAGCCTCCATCAACGAGCAGGCTCTAGTAGACAGGCAAGCCCGTGTCGACTGCCTGCAGCAGGAAATCCCTGTTCCCCGCAAAGAGATAAACCAGCGGCAAGAGCTGGTGAATGAAAAAACCAAGGAGTTGCGCCACTCGGCGCCTGACCATCCCCTGGTGTTCTCCGCCTCATCTCCCTAAGAGGGTTGGTCCTTCTTGTCGCTGTCGCTGGGTTTTGGGGGACTTGGGATGATCAAGTCCTTTGTAGTGTGTTCTTGTTGCGTTGGATGGGACGACAAGAAGAAGCAAGAACAAGAGGGGAAAATGACCTTCGATGTCGACGATCATCAGGAGCAGGGGGGTTTCACCCATCAGAGAAATCCATCTCAGATTGCCCCTGTCCTTGCCACAGCCTTATTGTTTCAACCATTCCCTCCGGTCCGACACGCCAAGAGGCTGGTTCGTCCGGAGTCTGAAGTCCATGTTGAAGTATCATCAAACAGACACCAGCCCCCACCCATTCCCGAAGCCTCGCACGAGGAAGATGACGAGTTCAAGGTTCAGATGCGTTGATTATCACAGACGTGCCTCGAAATGCTGGTTATCTCGACGACGTACTTCTTGGGATGGCAATAACCCCTTTTTGCTCCCACTTGGTTCACCTCAAACAGATAACATCGTCAACACCTCGTATATGCTCAGCGACTAGCCGATACAGCCTGGCTGACAGACCAACGAAAAGAAGCAGAAACATTAGCTCTTCCGGAAATGCAAAGCTCGAATCACAAAACATCACGGGGTGAAAGTAGAGAGAATACATGTCAGCCAAAAGACAGACCTCGGCCCGCTTGGTCACTTGGTCCCGACTCCGAGCGACTCTAGATGGGTGCCTCCAAATGCGTTGCGTGTCAAATGCCAGCTCGACACATGGCATCCAGCATCTTCATCAGCTCAGCCTGGCTTGTTCGGGCGAACGCAAAGGGTCTTCTGTCTGTAGTGTACTGTGTAGTGTATTTCTGTCCAGGTAGAGGTACCAATGTACATATAGGGATATGCAGGAACCACCGAAGATCGAAAGTCATCCTCGAATGCCGTTATGTAACAGGAACAACCCGACTTCGGGGTCCTTCAAGGTCTTTCAAGGTCTGGATGATTCGGTTTCGGCCTTCATTCAGGGGGAACAGCAATGGTCTTAGGTAATCCCTTGACGGTTCACATCGGGCCGTCCGAACGTTCGCTCGGTTCTTTGTTTGGAATTCGGAGTCCTTCGTCTTCGCCTTCGCCTTCGCCGCCCGCTGCCGTTGCCGTTGCCGCTACCAAAACGGCGCGCGAACGAACGGACGAACGCATCGTCCAGCTCGCGAGCGAGTCCTGTCTCAGATGTCCTGTCAAAGCTGAGCACGGCATGGTCGAAGCTTCGAAGGGAAGACGAACAAAGCTTAAATTGCCAAGTGCCGGGGATGTTCCTGGGCTTCTAGACCCTTTGGATCTCACGCGGTGATGGGTTAGGTTCGGTTCGGTTTTGTTGTTCTGTTTGTCAATCAATCTCATGACCACAAAGTCGGTGGTGGTGTTGGATTTGAGGATCTGATGGGAAAACGAGCTGAGACGTGATGGTAGAGTCGAGTCGGTCAAGCCCTTTGCGCCCAACTAGCCTCAGCAGACCCGCATCTTTGCGTTCTCGCGGTGAACTGAAGCTACTGTAGCGTAATGCGTCTTTGGTGTGGTTCTTGGTGTGGTTGTTGGAGACGAGGACAAGTGTGGATTCCCACCATCGCACCTACCCGACCCGATGTCAATGTGATATCCACAATGAACTACGCAATAATTATATAAGAATTGGATGGAAGTTGCAGGTGCGCCCCTTGCGTTGAATGGTTTCGGCGTGCAGCTGAGTCGCTCTTGCATCGATGCATTGTCCTGCTGCAGTTGCGGTCCTCGCAGTTGCCGTTGCAGTCACCATTCACCAGCAATTGCCGACATTCGAGCGAGGAGGATGAAGAGGACGGAAGGAGGAGGAAAGCTGGTGGCTCGGGCCGGGGTTTGGATACCCCCGACGACGAGGGCAACGACGACGACGAATTGCCCACTTTGACAAACAGCGAGCGAGCGAAAGCGGCGTCAGCGTCGGCGTGTGACGTTGGCTGGCGAAAAGGAGGATTCGGTGGAAGTGAAGAAATTGGGCGAATCAAGAGCAGCGGGTGGGAAAGTGTTACTCGATATTTACTCGATCAAAACTCACTTCTTATCCGCCCAGAAGGTTCCACTCACTCTAGATTTCAGTCCGCCTTTCACAACGACGGATGGTCGGTCACTGAATAACCTCGGATGCGCCTCCCAAATCCGGAAACTCGTTGAGAGAGGATTTCTCACCGATACGAGCCCTGCGTCGACGTTTCTGCCCTTATTGAGCTGTGAATTGTCGTATTTAGTAGAGGCTCTGCTGTTGTCGTCATGTTGATTTCCTTATCAGTGACGCAGTTGAAACAGAAACACTCGGATCCTCACTGCAACTGTCAATCTGCCACCAACACCACAACAACGGTCCTGGTAGCGGCCGATATCTGCCACTCCTGTCAATCGTCGCGATTCACTGTGGCATTGAATGAAAAAGGATCCTGGCAGGCGGTGACTTTCCCCATCTGGACCCCCGCCTGCAAAGTTCCTTTCCTAGTGGAGGGGCGTGTCTGGAACCCTATCTGGTGGGGCGTGCTTGCGTCGGACTACGGCTGCTTCCGACTAACAAAAACCAGCAACCGCAAAGGGAAAACTGCGAGGTGAGTATTGCTGCGCGCACCAATCAGCGGCCGCGGATAAGGGGAAACCTAGACGCAAACTGCAAGAGACCGCAAAAAGACCGCGACTTCCATCCTTCTCTTTCGACATCGATGGTCTCTCTCCCTGCCGTGGGCTTCACCTTCCATCTTGGCCTTTCCCTTCCGACATGTTCCCTATCAGTCATCTACAATCTCTTGGTAAGGAAAACCCGGCCAATTGACCATCCAGTGCCACGGTCTGATATCATATGGTATTCTGTTATCTCCCGTCTCTCCCGTCCCTTGGTTGAATCTCAATCCGATCAGCAATCGGTATTTCTCCCAGAGCCACCTCAAGATCTACCTCTCTGCCCTACGTGCCTCTCTATCTTATCTCCATGTTGGCGCGCGGCACCCCTGACCGAAACCAAGAGAGCGTGTGACAGCTTAATCTCAACTTGCCGGGGAAAGGAGCGCCGGTCGATGATGTAGTAGTCTCGTCGTCTTTTGGTGAATGATGAATGGATGGATGGGGAGCGGTCTACCTACCTCTTGTCATCACCACCACCATGCCATTCCATTCTCGCTTGTTGACAACCTTCTTACTCGATATTTTCTGGGGAAGACGTCTCGAGGTCTTTGGATGAGGGTTAGGGCGTGTTTGGATGCTCTGAAATTGGGCTCTTAAATGTTCAGACCCGGTTTTTTCAGAGTGCTGTTTGGAAGCGCTCTGAACGTTACTGTTCTGAAATTGTCTTTTTAGAGTGCTGTTTGGAAGCGCTCTGAACGTTTTGGTTCTGAAATCTTTCCAAAATCCCCGTTCTGAAATTCTGGCCCCACTCTTTGAGATGCATCCAATTAAATTTCATCAAATCCTCGAATTTCAGAGCCAACATTCAGGCCCAAGAACGTTTCTGAACCAAAATCAGAATTTCAGATATTTCAGAAAGGCCCGTGCAATACTTCTGACAAGCTATTTCAGAACACCCACTTCAGAGGGCCATTTCAGAGCATCCAAACACGCACTTAGACCACCCGAACGGACCCTCGGGAAGCAAAGGGCAGCATATGGGGACGAAACGCTAGCCGAGTCGGTGGAGCTCGCTTTTTCCCTCACAGCTACGGTAGCCCATGTCGATTTTCGTTTCACATCACCAACTAGCCCTAATTTCAACTGGCTCCAGCTATTAGCTATACCCTACATATAAATATAAACCCACTTCCCCTTGCTAAAGTAATTATATATCCTATTGCATTACTCCCGTTATATAAACTGGGTTCTTTTTCGACTTTAATTAATTAACTTTATTTTGGGCAAGGATACTTTAGGTCTTTTAGATTTTATAATCTAATAACTTCTTTAAGACGAAGTGTAAGCGTATTTTAGCGTTTTCATTTTCTTCCTAATTTTTAGCGGGTTTAGTATAATTATCGTTTTCGCCTAAATTAATACTGTTAAATATAAATACTAAGAATTCGTTCCGGGGAGGGGGCGGGGCGTTACCCTTAATACTTTTCAAAATAGTAGGTATAATATAATAGTATTACGCAGGTTGGGGTTTCCTTATTATAAGTTAATATATAAATTACTATAAATTATCACTATTAAATTTAAGGGTAGTATTAATTATATTATATAGAGGTTAGCGCTCTAATTACCTAATATTACTTAGTTTCTAGGCATATTTAAGTTACTTTAACACCCCTTATACCTTCTAAACGAATTAATTATATATATTCTGTAATTAATTATTTCTATATTATTATATTTAATAATTAATAATTTAATTTACGTATTTACGTTCAATATTATAATTATTAATTATAAGGAATATCTTTACGAAATTAATAACGTTAATTATATTTTTATTAAAAGAATATATTAATAAAGCTATTATAATTATTTTTAATACCCTTATTAATTAGCTTAATTAGTATAAAATTCTTAAAAAATTCGCTAGTAGTAATTAGGACTTTAATAATTGGTTATTTAAAGGAAGACTCATAGTTTAAAGGATTTTACCCTTAGAATTAGTAAGATTCTTTTTTATTAAGTAAGTAAAGGATTATTTTTTAATAATAAAGAAGGAGTTTATTAAATTTAATAGAAGAATTTGGATTAAAAAGGTTATAATTATAATTGTAATAATTATTATTATTACAATTATTAATACAAATAGTATTATTATTAAAATTATTATTATTATTTAATTTTAAAAAGAAGCCGCTACCGGCGCTAACGAAGACGATGAAAAAGGAAATTTGGAAAAAGAAAATAAAAAAGAGGAAGAGGAGGATAATAAATATTGTACTGAGTAGGATATTAAAGAGGATAGAATTATTAACCTTTCTATTAATTTAATAATCATTAAGAAAGTAGCGTATAATTAAATTAATAATACGTATAATATTTGTTATAAATATTAAAAAGATTTTAACGATACTAATGTCCGAATTTATAATTAGATAAATATTTATATCGCTACTTATTATATTAATATTTTATTTAAATAGAATAAATTTATCCGTAATTAGTTTAAAAAAATCAAAAATTAAATTAATTATTGATTTATCGATTAAATTACTAAAACTTATTAAAATTATTAAACTTCTATTAAAAAGATTATAAAGAAATAACTTAAGGATTTCGAAAAGTAGCTATTTAATTAGAAGATGCTTATTATAAACGGGAAGAGGTTTGTAATTAATAAAGTAAATTCCCCTATTTTATAATTTACCGATTTTATTAATATAGTTTATAAATATAAGCCTATTTAGGTTAGTAATTTTTAGAAGTTTAATAACGAATTTAAAGAAATATTTTTAAAATATAAAGATGTATTTATTAATTTTAAAAGGGTTAATATATTAAAATATATTGTATTATTAATTACTTTTAAAAAAGTTGTAGTTCGTAGCGTTTAGGGTATTGGCTGCTCTAACTTGTAAAATTTCGCGTTTAATAAAAAGGATACTCTTAATTTTGATTATAAAAAGAAGTAGAAAGTAAATATAAGGAAGAAATATAGTATAAATAAAAATGTAAAGGATTTTTTATAGCCGAAAAAGAGAGGAGGTATTATACCGCTTTATAAAATTTACGAACGAAGCCTTTATTTAATAATATGCTATTATTATTTAATATTTAAAATTAAGGATAATTTTAAATAGAAATTAAGTAGTTTTATTTAAAAGCTTATTAATAAAAATTTCGAAAAGTATTTTAAAATTAGTAAAGAAGTTAAGCAAATTAAGAATTAAATATGGGACTACTTTATTACCTTTATATAAATTATTGCTTCGAAAAATTAAAAGAGATGAAAAATCAGTATTTGCAATTTAATATTTTTTATTAAATAAAGTATTATTAATACGAATAACAGTAAGGGTGATATTTATTTATTTAAGAATTTTATAATCTTTAATTCCGGGGCTTCTATTTATATTTTTAATAAAATCAATCGTTTTTCTTCGTTTCGAATAGCGTCCCTAAAGGATTATATTTGGGCTGGTAAATTTTAAATACTTATTAAAAATTTTAGGATTATTAACGTAAAAGTATAAAGAGAGAGGGGAATTTTAAAATTATAGTTAAAAGAAGTAGCCTTCTACTTTAATTTTATTATAAATTTTATATTATTATATTTATTTCAAAAGTAAAATTCTTATTAAAATTATAAATCTCCTAGTAATTATTTCCGTTAGTTAAATAATTTATTCTTTCATTTCGTTTAAGAAATTTATTATTAAACGGTTCTTAAATATTTATTCCTTTCTTTTAATTATACCGCTTTCTTTATTCGTCGAAATCGCTTTAATTCTTTTACTGGCTATCGCGTATATAAAATCCCCGCTAAATTTTAGTATAAACGATTTAATTATTATAATCTTTAAATTTATAAATATTTTTATAATATTGAGGGTACTAAATTTAAAGGGCCCGCTATTTATTAATATAATACGTATAATATTTAAGAATTAAATAATAAATTAAACGAAAATTATAAAATAGGAGATTTAGCCTAGAAAAGTATTTCGCTATCGATTTCTTCGAATATAAAGTAGGGAAAAGTAATTTTAAATATATTATATTTATTATTTATTAATGGATTGGATTCGTTTAAGATATTTATATAGCGAATTAAATAATTAAAACTATTATTAAAGGATTCTTTTCAATTATCGATACAACTAATTACCGGTATAATATTAAAATTAAAGATATTAAGTACAATAATAAATTCAATAGTTAATATATTAAGGATAAATTAGCTATACGCTTCATTATTTTCGAAGCTTTAATACTTAATATTTAAATTCAAAATAATGGTATTAAGCGTTTAGGGGGTATAATTAAAGAAAAAGCGTATATAATAATAAATAGTATTAAATTCCCTTATAACTTTTAATTTTAAATCGTTTTAATTTTAGTTTATTTTATTAAACAATTATCTAAGTATTTTTATAATTGGAAGTTACTATACAAGCGGTTTTACACTTTTATAGTTTATTGTAAGGGGGTATAAATCGAACCCCGTAAATTTAATTTTAATTATCTACGTATTTATAGTTATAAAATATATATAATAATTGGTATTATATAAAAGCAAGAATAATAGCGTAAAAAGTTTTAATCAAAAGTTTGGATCGGATTCTTTATCGGCTACGTTACTTCTTCTATCTGTTAAATTTGGAACCTATAGATTAATTATATTATTTATACCTGTAATATATTCTTTAACGAAGATTTAATTTATTTAAAGAACTTTAATAATTATAAAGAAGGATTGAAGTTAATTAGCGACGAAATTACTAATTTATTTATCCGAATTAATTAACCTTGTTAATTATCTATATAATATTTCGAACCCTTCAATACCACCTAAAATATAGAAAATAACAGTTTTACCCCTCTCCTACTATTATTCTTCGATAACGAACTTTAAGAAAATAATAACGAAACCGTCTAAAAACTAATAAAACCTACCGCTCAAAGTAAGATATCTATTAATTTTATATTTAACTACCCTACCCTATTAAATATATTACTAATTATTCTTATTACCGGCCTTATAATCAATTTATTAGAGTTTATTTCCTTCCTAACCTTCGAACTATAGGAAGCCGTATTTAACGTTAGGAAATTTATTTAATTAGTTAATGTTAGAAGATATTCCAGGCGGTGCGTGGATGTTTCCACCCTATTGTGACATATGTTGAGTTAGGTATGGGCATGCTTATCTGAATATGTTACGGTATATAAGAGTGTTTATTCCGTCCGTTTCTATTAAGATCGACAAATTAATTAATTATTACTTTATAACCTATTGTTTATTTTGTTTACACTTTATAAAATCGTATATAAAGTTCTAAATTAAAGTTTTCAATAGTTATTATCTTCGCTTCCTTTAATAAAATTATCGCTAATCGTTACGTATTATTATTTTATCTAATAACTAATTACTTACTTTTTTATTCTCTATTAGTATTATTTATGAAGTATGTCTTCGCATAATAAATAGTATTTATAATTCAATTTTAAATTGACTTTATTATTTTTTATTTGTTTTTTTCTTCCTGTTGTAAAGGGGGGAAATTTATTCTTTATTTCGATAACTTTGATATAATTATTAAATTTACTATCCTAAAACTAAGTATATTACTTATTCTAACTTTTTAAATTCTCCTCTTTTTTTATAATTCTTCTATTATCCCTACCGGTTTCGAAGTATACTTTTACTATAACGAATAATAACAATTCTATTTTAATTATAGCTTTTAAACTATAGGATAATTAGTAATTA